CTGTTCTCCCTGACCATTAAGGAATCTGAGATCATTGACTTTTTCCTGTGTGCATCCCTAAAGGATGAGGTTCTGAAACCATGACAGTGCAGAAGCAGACTCAGGCTGGCCAGCGGGCCAGGTTCAAAGTTTTCATCGCTGTTGGGGACTGCAGTGGTCACATTGGCCTTGGTGTTGAATGCTCCAAGGAGGTTGTCACTGTCATTGGAGGGGCTATCATCTTCGTCCAAGCTTTCCATTGTCCCTGTGTGGAGAGGCTACCGGGGGAACAAGATTGGCAAGCCCCGCACTGTTCCATGCAAGGTGACAGGCTGCTGTGGCTTTGTGCTGGTGTGTCTCATCCTTGTCCCCAGAGGCACTGGCATTGTCTCTGCTCCTGTACTCAAGAAGCTCCTGATGATGGCAGGCAAGATGACTGCTACACTTCAGCTAGAGGCCGAACTGCCACCCTGGGCAACTTTGCCAAAGCTACCTTTAATGCCATCTCCAAGACCTACAGCTACCTGACCCTCGACCTCTGGAAAGAGACTGTGTTCACCAAGTCTCCGTCTCAGGAATTCACTGATCATCTTGTGAAGACCCACACTAGAGTCTGTTCAGAGGACCCAGGCTCCAGCTGTGGAACATAAGGGTATTTATACTAGAAACATGAATGAATTAAGTCTGTTAAAAAAAAAAAAGGTTTGAAAAAATTAAAGTTACTCCATAAAACAAGACCACTTGTGAACACACCAAAACCCTTCATGAACAGAGAGCACTGGTGGGGTGTCTTAGTCAGGGTTTCTATTGCTGTAATAAAACACCTTGAGCAAAACAGGTTGAGAAGGAAAGGGTTTGTTAGAGCTCACAATTCCCAGGTCACACTGTTCCATCACTGAGAGAAGTCAAGCAGGAACTCAAGCAGGGCAGGAACCTGGAGGTAGGAACTGAAGCAGAGGCCATGGAAAAACACTGCTTCCTGGGTCACTTCTCATGGTTTTCTCAGCTTGCTTTGTTATAGCACCCAGAACCATCAGCCAGAGGTGGTATCACTCAGAATGGGCTGGGCCTTCCCTCCCACATCAATCAGTAAGCAAGAGAATGCACTAAGACATCTAGTGGAGGCATTGTCTCAGTTGTGATTTCCTCTCCCAAAGTGACTAGCTCAATGTTAACTTGACATAAAATTAGCCAGCACAGCAGACAACAGAAGATTTGGCCTGAGTATAGGTAGCGAGGGAATTGGGCCATGAAGGGGACAGAGCTGAGAGGAACGGGCATGCAGATTTGTGCAGGACCCACCGATGGACTGAAGGGGAAGGAGATGGAAAGGCTGGTAAGATGTCTGAGGTTTTTATTTTTTATTTTTTTGTTTTTTTTATTATTATTATTATTTTTTGGTTTGGTTTTTCGAGACAGGGTTTCTCTGTGTAGCCCTGGCTGTCCTGGAACTCACTCTGTAGACCAGGCTAGCCTCGAACTCTTGAACTCAGAAATCCACCTGCCTCTGCCTCCCAAGTGCTGGGATTAAAGGCGTGCGCCACCACCGCCCCACAGGTTTTTATTTTTTAAAGACTTTGTTGTTATTGTTGCTTTGTTCTGTTTTTCTGTTTGTTTGTTTTTTTCTTCAAAATCACACAGATCCACCTGCCTCAGCCTCCTAAGAGCTGGGACTAAAGGTACGTGCCACCTCCACCAGGCAAAAGGTTTTTTGTTTTTGTTAAGAGTTTTTTTTATTATTATTTATTTTATGTATGTGAGTACACCATCATTCTCTTCAGAGACACCAAAAGAGGCCATTGGTTCCCATTACAGATGGTTGTGAGCCACCATGTGGTTGCTGCGAATAGAACTCAGGACCTCTGGAAAAGCAGCCAGTGCTCTTAACCACTGAGCCATCTCTCCAGCCCTAACTTCTGAGTTTTGCCTTATTTCCCTGGGTGGTGTCATTTATTCAGGTAGGGATATATGAAAAGCCATTCTGAGGAGGTATCATGTTCAGTGGTTTGTCCCTATCTCATGCTGAGTTTTGATTTACAATGTGGCAGCACTGGGGTGATGAGGCCTAATGGGGAGTCCTTGAGTTGTGTGTGTTGACTGAGACATCTTGTTTGTCAGTGTTGAGATTCAAGTGTTTGGCTGTTATCTCTGGATTGCCCAAACCATGGACACTAGCATCTGCAACTTCAGTCAGAGGTCCAGGCTGACAATGTGGGTTTGTCCGTTCACCATACGGTGCTGCTGAGAGAATCCCAGAAAACTGCCAGGGTGTCTGCAGTGAGCCCCGACACTCCAATCATTCTGGGGAAATAGGACTAACTTGTTTTCTGTTGCTATAACTGAATATCACAGCCTGAGGGATTTATAGCATTAGAAGTGTACTTAAACTGGGCAGTGGTGGTACAGGTCTTTAATTCCAGCACTTTGGAGGCAGAAGCAGGTGAATCTCTGTGAGTTCGAGGCCAACCTGGTTTACAGAACTAGTTCTTCTAGGACAGCCAGGGGATACACAAACACACACACAAACACACACACACACACACACACACAAACACACACACCTCTGTCTTTAAAAAATCCAAAAATTGTCTATCATCCCTGTCACCTGAATTTATGAGTATGAAAGACCCCAATAAATGTAGCAGGTCACTGCGTCCTGAGAAGACCCACATCTGACATACTGCTGCAACCCTGCCTCCAGACAACATCATAAAGGCACAGCAAGCTGTAGAGGCACAGGCAGTGGCCTGGCCTCAACCATCATCTCATTTGTAAGGAAGAATGATTATCTCCTCCATCTCCTGTTTGTTTGTTTGTTTGTTTCTTTTCTTGAAGGGGGAGAAGTTGGTTTGCTTATTTTTGTTTTTTGAGAAAAGGTCTTAGGTACCAGAGTCTGGACTGGAACTCACTATGCAGTCTAAAGTGACCTTGAACTCCTGATTCTTCTGCTTTCACTTCCTAGTTCTGGGATTCCAGGGCTGTGCTACCACACCCGGTAGAGAAGTGGGATCTATGTTCTCCCCACTGAAGCCTGATGTCTAACCTTCAGCTGTGCCTCTGTGTGACAACACGGCCCCCTTATTCTTCTCCTTCTCCGTGCAGCCAGTTGACGGGCATAAGGAGACCCAGGCCACAGGAGTCCATGAGTGGCTGCTCTAGCCAACACCTCTAGTTAGTCCCTTGAGGCCTATGCCAGACCCGTGCATGAAGGAACCTCAGAACAACCCAGCTGGACTCCTGAGACCTCCAGAGGAGGCCCTCTATGTGATAAGCAGACACAGGGGGTCTTCACTGTGCTTTGACTGAATTCTTGACCCATGGCTGGAAAAAGAGATGGCAAAGATCATAGTTTCTTCTTGTTTTTGTTTTGTTCAAAACGGGGATTCTCTATATAACCCTGGCTATTATGGAACTTGCTTTGCAGACCAGGCTGGCCTCAAATTCACAGAGATCTGCCTGCCTCTGCCTCCTGAGTGCTGGGATTAAAGGCGCGCACACCACCTGACAAGAAAGGCTGTTGGTAATAGCAATGAAGGGGAAAATCGTGACGTAAATAAACCACATTTTACTCCTTTTTCATTAAAGTCTGGAAGTAGGCAACCAGGAGTAATTTGGGGACCCCAATGAGTCAGTAGGAACCCAGGATCTTTCTTGATTTTACTATTCTCTGAACATGGCTGCAATTTTCAAAGTTACCTCCAGATCCAAGATAACTGCTAGAGTTCCAGCTATCACATGTACATTCCAATGTGAATACAGGATGAAGCAAAGCAAAACAAACAAACAAAAAACCAATGGGTTTCTCCAACATTGTTTCTACCTTAAAGGACATCATTAGAAATCCCTTCCCACTCCTTCTGATTATGTCTTAGAATTATGTCACACTATACATGCAAGGGAGGGTAGACATGTTGTCTTTTGGCTGGGGTCATTGCCATCTAGGGTACAATTGGATTTATACTACTGAGGAAGGGAGAATGGTCAGTGAGCAGTTGGAAGCTATGGTATCAGAGGAGGAAGAGGGAAGGCAGAGGCCTTCCCCAGGAAGCCTTCTTGGTATTTGGGGGTACTGTAAGGTTTTCTACTTCAATTGTTTCTTTATTTATTATATGGAGTCTCAGGTATCCCAGGCTAATCTTGAACTCCATACCTAGCTGAGCATGACCTTGAACTTCCAACCTCCTGCCTCTACCTTCTGAACATTGAGATGATAGACTCACATCACCACACTTGCTATTCAGTGTTGGAGCTGGAACCCTGGGCCTCTTGCATGCTAGACTCTACCTACTTCACTGCAGGCAGCAGGACTTTGGCTCAGTGTCTTCATGTAAAACCTCGGCTTTCCCTTTTCAACTATTCATGACTCCAGTTTAAACACAGATTCTGGTGTTTGGTCTAGAGCCACAGGTCTTTGCTTCTGTTTCCCTCATGCTACTCAAAGCTAGGGAATGATTACACTCCTGCTTCCCCCAGCCCAGCACTCTTGTACAATAGACATCGTGAGCAAAGTCTGCATACAATGTTAACACTTCAGACACTTTCCTGTGCCCCACCTCCATGAGTGAGGCCCTTCCTCTGTTCTTTATTCTCTTTCTTTAGATTCCGTTCTGGCTTGCCCTGTTTCAGCTTTGTGTCCACTTGCCCCAGACTGCTCAGTGACCACAAATGGAACTGTATTTAGGTTACAGGCCATAGCTTTCTCCCCTCAGTGGGAACTAGACATCACCCCTTAGTTCTCTGCAAGCCCAGAAGGTCTGCAATTGCCACCAGGCTGGAAGAGGAGTCACTTGGGACAATGCATATGTAACCAGGTTCTAATAATGGAGTTGAGTGTAGCCACCACTCAGGGCATCTCAAACCTAGGTCTCAGAGGCCCTTGGAGAGGCAGGAAGGTTCCCACTATGTGTGTCTGAATGCTAGACGCTCCCCCTGGGTCTACTCCCTGAGCCCACTTGACTCAGTGCACTCAATGGGCTTGCAGCAGTGGCCTTGGATCTGTCACCCAGGAACACACGTATGAAACCTTTCCATTTCATAACTTTATTTAATTTTCTCTGTCTCTTCCCTCCCCCGCCAGCCCCTGAGAGGGGGTGGAATCCCCAGTTGGAAGGGAAGGGACTATTCTGTTCTCCCTAGGGAGGGATGGTGTCCCCTGGACAGGCTCCATGAATGGGAGAAGCAGAGGCCTTCAAGGCAAGGCCAGGGCATCGTCCAAGAGGCTGTGACCAGGGCAGAGCCCCTCGGATGCCCTGTAGTCCTACATCCTGTGGGTCACTTAGAAGGTGAAGAGCAGAGAAGCCTGGGGGAATGGTGGGGACAAGATATTGCGTGGCTGACAGAGGCAGATATGAATTTCAGGATGCTGGGGCTCAGAGTTGGAAAACCTGGGTCATAAAGAAAGCTGGATGTAGTCAAGGTGCAACAGGAACCAGGGAGACTGAGGTGGGAGCAAGAGAGCAAGTCTGTGCTCTAAGAACTGGGCGCTGCGGAGGGACTAACCACACCTTAGGGTCGAGGGATAATCAGGGCACTTGCCCTGAGCAGAGATCAGAGGGCAGATGAAGGGGATGGAGCAGAGGAGGATGGGGACTCTGGTGGGCAGGGGACCAAGCTCTGGGGTAGCCACGGCCAGCTGTTCAGCTTCAGGACAGCCATCCCAGCTGGCCATGGTCCCAAGCCACCAGTTTGTGCTTCTATGTTGCAGGAGGGCTCCCCATGTAGCTCAGCCATGGCAGAGAGACAGGCAGCCGTGCCCAGGTCTCCCCGCAGCCCAGTCTTTCTGGACGCTTCTCTCCCTGCCCAGCATCATCTGCTATCACAGGGGAACATGGTGATGGTTGGGGGAGCCATGCTGGGGACAGATCACAGACTCAACTTACATGGTGTTTACTTCCTCCTCAAAGGACCGCGTGTCACCGCAATTTTAGTCTAAGGATCCCACTCAACTCCCACCCCTTGTGCATGGCTGGTCTGTTTTCTTTCCTGTTTTTGACAGTTATTCAGACATCCAAGCCCGTGGTGAGATGGTGAGGAGAGAGGGGTGTTCTGGGACTGTAGGGGGCGGGTATCTCAGAGTGCACCCTGCCCATCTCCACGGCAGCCGCTGTCCCCGTGGACAATGAGCACCGGGAAGTAAAGGGCGTCCTCATAGCACGGAGGGCTTTCCAGAGGCTCCGTGTCCTCCCCTCTGCGTCCCAAGGGACCTCCACTCAAGCTGCGGAAGACCCCTGGGGTGGTTCGGCCCCCAGCACCTAGCGAGAGGCGGCTGCGGCTGAAGGGTAGGCGAGGCCCGCTGGGACGTGCGGGAGGCAGGGAGTTGCTGCTGACAGAGCGACGGCAGCGTTGGCAGCCTCGCAGGTAGGCCCCAGAGCTGGCACCCATGACCACAGCCTCCGAGTAGCTGGGCACCAGCTGCCGGTTGGAGCAGATGTGCCACTCAAGCTCTGTGAAGTCCACGGTGGCTACACGCGAGAGAGGTGGCCCGCTGGGCACAGCCCCTGGGGGCGGTGAGCTGGCACCGAAAAGCTTCTCCACTTGGTAATGCACATGGGCCGTCCCATAGGCTGCCACCACTCGCAGTGGCCAGGACAACGTGGCTGCAGACACCAGCCAGAAGACCCAGGCTCGGGCATACCAGGGTGGGCTGTGGGGGTCTGCAAAGACCATGAGGGACTCACGGAAGTCCACATCCTTCAGATGCATGCCCTCGCGGGCCTCTAGGTAGTCGTCCAGGCCCTCATTGGCACTAAAGAAGCGAGCTCTCTGTGTGAGGTACGAGGCCTCGGCCTCAGCACTTCCAAAGCTGAAGCACTTGGTGAAACGCAGCCGCGTGGCTGCGTGGTCTGCTAGGCCCACGAGCTCCTTGGAGACATCACGGACACCATGTGCACTGTAGTCAAACTCACCCCGAGCTGTGCGACTGTCCGCCCTCTCATGGTAGACCTGTGTGGTGGTATAGGCGTCCCCATTGCGGTAGCGGGTGATCTGGCGTGTACGTCGCACGTAGTGGTAGCTGGTGGCCTTCCACCAGACACAGGGCGGAGCCTGTTGCAGCCGGTGGATCAGGGCAAGCACGGTGTTGGCATCAGTGCGAGGCGCCTGGCATGACCGCACATGACAGTGCCAGCACTCTGCCAGGTAGAGGAGGTAGAGGAGGGAGACGAAGGCCAATGGGATGTACAGGTAGCCATCGGAGCAGGGACTGGCTGGGTAGGTGGGCGGCGGACCACCAGCCCCACGAGCCAAGGCTGCCTCAGGCCCCAGGACCAGGCGGGGCACAGTGGCTAAGCGACACCAGGCCACCACAGCCCCACAGGCATGGATGAGCAGTGTGAGGAGCAGGCACTTCCAGTGAGACTCTCGACACAGAGAGCCTCCCAGGGACTGCTTCAGGGGCCGCTGCTGCGGGGTGGGCAGAGAAAGGAGAGGTACATGTCAGTGGGGGATCACTGGTGTGAAGGAGGTGGACCCACTTTACAGAACAAGAAACTGAGGCTTCTATTGATTGAGCCATTTTGCAGCAAGTCTCACAGTAGCAAACCTTGTTTATCTGCTATGAGCGTGCCTTCTCCTGTGCCCTGCTGTTTCTCAGTTATCAGCCCCCTACCCAAATAAGATCTCAATAGAGAAGAAGTGACCCCCATCCCAATGACTACTGAGAAATCTGACTTCTTGTAGTTCCTGTTCTGTCTCCAATTTGTTGTGCACATTTGGCTACATCTTTACTCTCTCTGGGTCTGGATTTTGGTTGTGGTGATCTAGAAGGGCTGATATGGCAAGGAGTGGTGTGTGTGTGTGTCTGTGCTGGGGGGCAGGCTATGGAGCCTAGCGCTACACCTTAAAGTGCTAACTCTTCTGACTCATTCTACTCAGTGTGATTTGGGCAGACCCCTCATCTACTCTGACACTGTTTCCTCATCTGCATACACAGTTGTTGAAGAAGAGGTTGTGATCTTCAAAGAGATCACATGTGGGAATTTGTTAGCACAGGGTCTGGCCCTGGGAATAAACACTTTTGCTGCTATCCTGTGACTCCCTCTGGTCCCTTGTTCCACAAGGGATGGCAAGAGACTTGGGAGAGGCTGTTAAGTCTGGGAGGGGGTGGAGGGAGGGGCTGAGATGGGAAATGGGGAAGGTGTAGGCCTCAAGCCTTGGAGCAGACGGAGGCTATTCTTCATCCCCAATCTGTGCTGAGGGAAGGGATGGGACACAAGTTGCTGGACAGCACAAAGTCTTTTTTGACCCAAAGGGCTTGGCATATCTTCCATGGTAGGACTACCAGCCTCGCTACTTCAGCTCTGGCGTCAATAGAAGCGAAGGAAGTGGGAAGGGGAAAGGAAACTGGGAGAGAAGAGGTGGAGAGTATAGAGTGGGATTCTGGGTAATTTCACCTACTCAGCCCCACCACTCCTTGAGAGGTCCAACAGAGAGGAGACTGGCCCCAGACCCATCCAGGGCAGGCTGGTGCCTTGGTGCATGAAATTTACAGGTGCATTCTGCCACCTAGACCTGTGCCAGCCAGGGGCACACACCCACTCATCCACACCCCCAACACATGTTCATCATAGACCCACCTACCCACCTACCACAAAGGAATACCTTCGCTCATTTAAGAAACAACAGAACCTTGCTTATTTTCAGAGCACAAGCATCATGGCCGTAGCAAGGTCTACCCACACACGAAAGAGCATGTCAGCACAGCACACACATGCACATACATGTTACACACTGGCACCTAGACATGTAAGACCCTCACCTGATCACAGTGCACATTTACCCCACCCTAGAGCAACCTGACACCCACAAGCCATACTTAGACACACACTAGAGAGGCACAGCATGAAATCATACACACCCACACTCTTGGGTGAAGACCCAAGGCAAGAGACCCATCAGAGGCTCACCTGATTACAGGGTATATATGTTCCTACTGAAGACACAGGGAACACACCACCAGAATTCTTTCTCACACACACAACACACACACAAGTGCATTTATACCCGCTCACACACGCAGACCACTCACCACCCTGTTTTCCACACCTATCATCTTACACTTGGCACATCCTCCTAGCTAAGAGCCGGGGAGGGGCTCTGGGGAATCTCAACCACTGGAGTGGGCCCTCAGTCCTCACCTGGGACTGGGGGAAAGAAAGGTATCAGCAGCGGCTCTGCTCCTTTCTCTTCCCTTTTTCCCTCCCCCACCTCCAGTCCCTGCCACCGCTACTGCATTGCAGGCACCGCCCGACACCTCGTGAGCAACTGGACTGGACTGGGGGCCTGACCCCATGGCCCTAGCAGTCACGGACAGCATCCCCGGCTGCGCTATGGAACAGGGACGCGTCTGGGCCACAGAGGCTGACGTCACAGGACAGGAGAAGATGGTTGAGGGGGCGCCGAGGGTCAGGGTCTCCCCTACCTTCCTGTCACCCATTCCTGCTTTGACTTACGTGGATCCCGAAGCCTCGACCCCTACCAGAATGCTGTCTCCCCAATGACGTCATTGCTGGAGGGGCTCCGGGACTTTCCTCCTCAATCCCTCTCCGGGAATCGCCCCTCTACTTGTCCCCTTCACCTCTCTACAGCCCTGGCTCCGTTCCCATTACTTGCCCCTAGTACCTCCTCCCGCAGCGGCTCGCCGTCCGGAACGAGCGCGGGCACCTCCCCGCCGTCTCCACCTTCGCCCTCCGGCATGGTGTCCTGGCTGCTCCGGCTGCCGGGCCCGGGCCCGGGGCATGATAAGCAGGGACGCGGGGGGCTGCGGCGCGGCCCCGAGGGGCGTCCGCTCGGCTTGGCGGCTGCTGAGGAGTGCGCCGAGCCCAGCCCGAGCACGGCGGCGTTGGCGGCCGCGGTGCCCGGCGCCCCGCCCTCCGCTGACCCCGCCCCCGCAGCACCGGTGGCGCCGCTGGCCGCGCCTGGCACCGCGGGCACACCCCATCTCCACCCCCTCGCCTGTGGGAAGCCCAGTCTGGGCCGCCGGACGCCTGGTTTCTCAAGCTGCGCTCATGCTTGCGACCTTGGGCGAGTCCTTGCTCTGCGGCGCCCGAGTCTCCCCAACTGAGTAATGAAGAGGGACATGGTGGGTGGACGTCCGCCAGGTTCCTCTCTAGGGGATGGGCCCAGCACTAAGCCCACCCAGACTTCATCCCAGAAGCTTTGCTTGTTGACAGTTAATACCCAGAAGGGAAAGAAAGTCTCAGTCTCATCTGCTGGACTCTGAGGCTGGTGGGCTGGAGCCAGGGCACCAGGAACTCTAGGCTGCATGACTTTTGATCAGCATGTTCCAGCCATAAACTCAGCCTTTCAATCTGAGAAGTGGGAATGAAAAAGTGTTAGATTAAATTCACTAGCATGCTTAGGCCAGGCCGGGGGGGAAGGGGGAGGATAGGTTTGCCCTGCATGGAACAAGTAAAGCCCCTGCTCCGGAGTCCTCAGAGGGCTGGGTTTCTCACATTTCAGAGGCCTCAAATTCCGAGACTCACCTACCTCTGCCTCCCGAGTGCTAGGATTAAAAGTGTATTTCATTATCCTCCATCTTTACTTATTTTGTGTTTAGTTTTAAAATTACTATTTTATGTGTGTGACTGTTTTGCCTGTATGTCTGTTTGTACACCACATGCATGCAGCGTCCACAGAAGGCAGAAGACAGTGTTCGATCCCCTGGAACTGGAATTACAGATGATTGTGAGCTGCTGAGTGGATGATGGGAATCCAATCAGATCTTTTGGAAGAGCAATCAGTGCTCTTACCTGCTGAGCCATCTCTCCAACTGTCCCCCATTTGTTCACTTATTGGGCCTAGATGTTTTCTGGCTATCCTCTATGTGTAACTAGTGTGCTTGGGCACTAAGAAGACATAGATAGGTGTTAGGAATGATATAGTCTGGCTGGAGAGATGGCTCAGCTGTTAAAGGCTAGGCTCACAACCAAAAATATAAGGAATGACATAGTCCCTGTCCTCATGGAAGATATCCAGGAAAAATCTGATTAAAGAGGGGTTCAGAACCTATACTATAGCCATCACTCTGGGCCATGATCAGGCCTCTGTTCCCTTTGTCCCTCTGTAAGAGCTAAGGTGATCTCTCCTTTTTATTTTATTTTTTTAAAAGATTTATTTATTTATTTTATGTATATGAGTGCTCTGTCTGCATGTACACCTGCATGCCAGAAGAGGGAATCAGATCTCATTACAGATGGTTGTAAGCTACCTGCGGTTGCTGGGAATTGAAGTCAGGATCTCTGGAAGAGCAGCCAGTGTTCTTAACTGCTGAGCCATTTCTCCAGCCCCAATTCCTGCCCCTCTTAAATACAATTACATTTTAAACTTATTTGGTTTGTGTATCTCTTGGGGAGGGATGGTCCAAAGAGGTGCACTTTAACCATAGCTCAAGTGTGCAAATCAGAGGATGATTTTTGGGAGTTGGTTTCCTTCTTCCACCGTTTAGGAATTGAATTTAGGTCCTCAGGCTTGGCAGTCTGCTGAGCCACCTTACAAGCAAGCTAACATGACTCTTCAAGGATTTGGACAAATGGGTAGGAAGGGAAGGGCATATCTTCTGTATCCCAGGTGGAGGAGCAAAAGCAGCCATTGGACCACATGGGCTGAGTATGGGGAGCAGGAAAGTCTCACCTTATGTAACTAAACCCTGGGTAGTTAGTCAGCTGCAAGTAACAGAGGGTGTATCATGGTGTCTAGAGAATAGTGCCTGACAGTCTCTGAGAGAGGGACCCTTGAAGACTATCTCCAGCAAGGGCGGGAAGAAAAGAGCCTGGGAGACAAGGAGTGAGGCTTAAGGGCCTCACTTCGAGATCACAGGACTGGTGATGACTCAGGAGCCTTCAGGAGACAGGTCACCACACCTCTGCCTCCCAAATCTACCCGACCACTGGAGAAAGTAATGGAACAAGGCCCAGTACAGATTCCTGCCCCATGTATACCACCAGAACTTCGTATCTTCTAGGTGGTCTCAGTTTCTGTCCTCTGCCCCGTGCGTGCGTGCGTGCGTGTGCACGCGTGTGTGCGTGTGTGTATAAGGTATTGAGCGCGATTCCAAACCCTCCCAGCAGAGGCCCTCGCGGATGAGCAGGACAGCCGCGGACTTTAGAGGGCATTTTCAGCACTGTACGACGGACAGCACTTGCTCTGAAAGGAGTGGGAGGGCGGAGGAGGAGTCTAGGACTCTGGGCCGCGTTCTTGGACTCTGGGCCGCGTTGTCACTCTCCCGGTGCGAGCAACAACGACACATTCTAGTAGGCCGGGGCTCCAATACAGGACGGAGTTAACTGGAGGAAGGAGAGCACAGTGTGGGGCTAGGGATCAGTCAGAGCTTGACCGACCGCCGCATTCCTCTTACACTGCGTTGCGGCGAAGGCAGCTTTGTGCCCTGACTAGCTGGGTTGGTCCCGATCTCAATCTTCCTACTGGCGTAGTCGTAGCAAGGAGCGTCAAGGGCCTCTCGGCGCAGACGCGGAACTAAGTTACAATTTCTTCCCACCTATTGGCTGGTAGCGCCGCAAATTAGCAAGCCTATTATTCAATCCGAAAGCATCTTGAGTAGCTCCGCCCCCTAGCTATCGGAAGTTGACTATGACAAAACTCGATTGGGCGAGGACTCACCAGTAGCCAATTGGTACTGTGAAGGGGGAGAACCGGCTCCTCGGAAGAGCCAATGGTAGACAGCGGAGTGTGACGCCATGGACATGGCGCCGCGATCGGCCAGCCCCGGGACGTGTCCAGCGGTCGGGTAACTTTGGTCAGAACAAGGCAAGAGAAGCAGCTGTTTCAGTAGTGTTCGCACCCACGACTCAGCGGAGCCAGCCCTTGGGTAGAGCGAACGTCACGGCCATGGCTTACCACTCTGGATATGGAGTCCACGGTGCGTGAGGAGTGGGGAGGGCGGGGCGCGGCCTGGCAGCGGGGCGCCAAATACGCTGCGAGACCCACTGGTCTGGAGGGAGAGGGCCTGCGGTGACCGCTGCCCAGGGCGGGGAGAGTGGCTCTCGGGTTCCTGCCCTGCCACACTGCAGCGTGTCCTGGACTTCGCCCTTACTAGCCAGTCCTGAGATCAGGCAGCGACGGCACTGCTGGAATCTCCAAGTTTAATCCTGCATGTACCACATTTGCCTCCAGAACTTCCTTTCTCTGTTACAACTCTGGAAGCATTCCTGACACTGTCCAGGGATTCCAAGTAACCTATGTTGCCTTTCTTCCCCGTGTTAAGTTAAGGGATGCCTTTCTGGGGATCATACCCAAGCAAACGTCTGCTCACTCGCTAGTACTCAGGAATCATCGACTTCCTAGAAACTCCAAATGAGTAGCTATGTCTAGGCACTCCTTTCCCCTTGTGTGTAGTAAAGGATCCCTCCAAAAGGGCAGGAGATCGTTCTTAAAGCATACCCTGGCTTTTCTTCAACAATTGTTCAGTGCCTTAGGACCTATGTACAGCTTCTCAACTTGGGGAAGGGTTCTTGCTCTGTAATTCTGTAATCTACTTTGGTACTCCCACACCTGCAGGTTCCAAGCATAGGACCCGGGCAGCTCCAGACCCTCCTCCACTCTTCGATGATACAAGTGGTGGTTATTCCAGCCAACTAGGTGGATACCCAGCCCCAGGAGCTGATGTAGCCTTCAGTGTCAACAACCTGCTTGGAGACCCAGTGGCCAATATGGCTATGGCCTATGGCAGCTCCATAGCATCTCAAGGGAAGGACATAGTGCACAAAGAGGTGTGGCCTGTGTTCAGGAGGGTGATGGGGCTTCTGGTTCGGGTTGAGGGGTCACAGGATCCCATCTTACTCCCCAGGCATCCTTTAGGAAGGTGCACAGTGTGGCTTATCCACAGCCTCTTTTCTTTGCTTCCAGCTGCACCGTTTTGTGTCTGTGAACAAACTCAAGTATTTTTTTGCTGTGGACACAGCCTATGTAGCCAAGAAGCTAGGGCTATTGGTCTTCCCATACACACATCAGGTGAGCTTCCTACCAGGTGAGCTGGCAAGCCTCTACCCACTCATGAATAACCTGACCAATGCTCAGATCTCAGCCCCCTCTCTCTTTTTCTCTGCTCCTGATTACCCGACCACCTCTTCCACTGCCAGAACTGGAAAATGCAATACAGTCAAGATGTGCCTCTGCCCCCACGGAAAGACCTCAATGCTCCTGACCTCTATATCCCCAGTGAGTCTGACATGGGCTTGGGGACACAGGGGACTTGTGCCTTGAAGCATAGTTAGGAAGATGACCCAATTAATGACCCAGCATTCATTCCTAGAACTTTTCATGTGTGACTGTTGCTAGACCCTAGGTTGACATGGTGACCAGTAGGAAACTTCTGAATGTGACCTTGATTTTTTTTTTTTTAACACCTTCCTGCCTTTAACTTAGACCCTGTCTCTTCAGCCTGGAGCTCTGGGTTTTTACTTGGCCCAGCAGCTTCCTGCTGTAGGACTTGAGGCTGGATCTCTTAGCCTTCACTAAAGCAAGACTAACGGTGGCTTCTACCTCAGAGAATTGTTGTGAAATGCCAGAAGATGATATGTGCTGTGCATTGCACCTGGCATGAAGAAAACACACCAGACAGTACATGGTTGTCATAGCTGTTGCCTGTCCTCTGTCCTGAGGCCTGCTCTAGCATCCCCTCCTCTAGGAAGCTTGACCCCTGGAGCAAATGCTTCCTCCCCTCTGGATCCTCACAGCTGTCTGTCCCCATGGCACTTGTCAGACTAGCAACATTGCCTCTGTCCTGTTGGCTAAGAAGGTTCAGGCTCAGAGGATACACACAAGGAAAGCAGATACATTAGGGCAGAGCTGTCCAGAGGAGCAGCAGGAAGGGCAGCAGCTAAGGTGGTTCCATCCTGTTCCTCTCGTGACCCCTGTTACAAAGCTGGTACATGTCACCTTGTGTCTTATGTTGAAGTCAAGGTTATAGGGCCTTAACTGTCCCATAGCTCATAGGTGACAGTGCTGTGCCCTCTGGTGGCTACATCAATCTGGTGCCTGGGAAGGTAGGGGGCGGGCAGGGGAAGATGACTGTTGAGTTGAAATTGCTGCTGAAGCCTGCCTGGCTTCCTGCATCTTTGAGCTCCTGTGGAAACAGTCCATAGTTACCAGGGGTTTCTGCACGGTCGATGGCCAAACTCATTAATTGCTGGCTGAGAGGGATCCTATTCCCAGAATCCTGGATCCTAAGGACAGCCTAGCTTGTCCATGAAGCCTCCTTTTTGGTTCTAGTCTTTCCAGAAATAAGGCTGGTTCCTGTCCAGGATGAGCAGTGGTCTTAGTTGTGGTGTTGACTTTGGGGACACTACAGGGAGCTGATGAGCTTCCTTGTGTAGGAGGGAAGGTGATGGCTACGGTCCTGGGAGGTCTAGTGGTATTCAGCTGGAGGGGGTAGTCAGAGAGGTCACTGGGGCCGGGACATTGGAGAGCTGAATGTAGAGGGTGAGAGAAGTTGGGATATGCAGGGAGGGAAGTGTGGGAGAGAGGCTGGGGTACCAGTGGACTTGAATGCCTAATGAGGGGCTCTGGGCAAGGAAACCAGATTAACTACTTCCTCTCTTCTCTCGGCAGCCATGGCCTTCATCACGTACGTACTGCTGGCTGGGATGGCACTAGGCATTCAGCAAAGGTTGGTCCTCTCTTCTCCCTCCTGGCTTACATCCCATCCTTTCTAGGGAATCCGTGCCAGGTCCCAGCTCACCCAGCATAGCTTCTTACCTCACACCTGCCACAGGACGGCTCGCCCTGACCAACCTTCTCCCATGTCTGCAGGTTCTCCCCAGAGGTGTTGGGCCTGTGTGCGAGCACAGCACTGGTGTGGGTGTTAATGGAGGTGTTAGCTCTGCTTCTGGGCCTCTACCTGGCCACTGTGCGCAGTGAACTGAGTACCTTCCACCTCTTGGCTTACAGCGGTTACAAATATGTGGGGTGAGTGTCTGTGGGCTGAGAGGAGCCTTGAAGGGTCTGTGGTTACAGCTTTTGAGCCTCTGTAGCGACGGACTTCATTGTGATGATAGAGGCAGTTTCTACTCCATCATAGCCCCCAGCTCTACGCTGTAACTGGCTGTTTCTAAAAATCTTCCCTTGGAGCCAGTGACTTTAAAGAGATTGAGGATTTGTGAGTTACCTTGGTGAGCCCAGAGAAGAGAAGGGGATTTCAGGTCCTGGGGCTGAGTCCTGAACCTTGCAGATCCATTTGGAGTCTGGTTCTTTGTAGGGAACAGCCTGGTGTCATGGGTTGTGGTACTGAGTAGTTCTAGGTCCAGGTAGGTAGGGCTAGTCTCACGCCTGGACCTTAGGAATCACCAATTCATTCCTGCACCCCCAGGATGATCCTCAGTGTGCTCACAGGGCTGCTCTTCGGCAGTGATGGCTATTACGTGGCCCTGGCCTGGACATCATCTGCGCTTATGTACTTCATTGTGAGTGTGGGGTGACCCCTCCCCTCATCTCCTCTGGGACACATTTCCCTTCCTAGACCACTCAGCTCTCCTTTCTTCCAGGTTCGTTCTTTGCGGACTGCAGCTTCAGGCCCTGACAGCATGGGGGGCCCAGCCCCTCGGCAGCGTCTCCAGCTCTACCTGACCCTGGGAGCAGCTGCCTTCCAGCCCCTCATCATATACTGGCTGACCTTCCACCTGGTCCGGTGATCCCTGGTCCTTAGGTGGCACTGACTTTTCCATACATTGAAGATTTGGTTTCCTTAACTCGGCTTGACCCTGGTTCCTGGGACTCAGGGGGAAGCCACAGGCATCTCTTCTTTGCCCAGGGGACTAGGCTTCAGGCTGTTTAAGAGAAGGGTAAGCAGATCCAGGGAGAGCATCCTGGAGGTATCTTTGATACTGCCTTGAAAAACAGCTGGAAAAGGAGGATGGAAGGGTGGCTGTCAAGGAGATTTCCAAGGCTTCACATATATCTGAGAGGATTCCAGAGGAGCCCGAGGCTAGTAGGGCAAGGTTTACAAGGCTTACAGTGCTGGGGTTTAGTTCTGGGTTGTTCCCTCTAGAATATTCCACCTAACCATATGTGTTTAAGCCTTTCAGAAGCAGAACTGGGGCTTGTGTGTTTTTAGTAGTTTATTCATATTTTGTCACAAATGTCTGGGGATAGGGTGCTGGACTCCTCCAGGCAACATAGAAAACAGGTCCAAGGGACAGGGCTGGATTTGGGGTGAGTAGAGACTGGGTTGGAAAGAGAGCCTGGGGGAGGGGAGAGGGCAGAGGGCAGACTAGGGATGGGGCTGCCCCCATGTTGAGCCTGCTCATTCCTGGTGCAGGTGCCCCCCCACCTGCAGGGGGAGCTTCAGGGTGAGGGCCAAGGTGGGCTGCCCAGAATTTCCAGGATCAAGGTCTGCCTGTTGGCAGGGCCCAAATTCCCCTGAAACGGACAAGACCGGAAGTCCTACCCCTTCCAGGACAACTGCCATGCCTAGCTGCAGGCTAGCAGAGGAGCCCCCACCCCTGTTTAGAGCTTTGCCTGGCCCTAGTCGGAAGGGGAGAGCTCTGAAGGCGGGGGTCCCCGCAGCAGCAGTTTTGGGGGGTGGAGAGGCTTGGAGGCACCAGTGCCTCCTCCCTCCCCAGGGCTGAGGCCTCTGTGACCAGAGGGGCAGGGCTGGGGGTGCACAGGCGTCCGGTCCGTTCTGGGCTTGCTCCCTGGCCGGCTTCCCCCTTAGAAGCTCACCAACGTATAAACCATACTGTGGGGGAGATGAGGCTGTGAACGTGTATCCTGAGAGAGCCTGCCACCCTTCCAGTCATGCCCTGATTGTCTATCATCCTCAGTGGCAAAAAAGGGACCTGGGAATTAAGAGCCCAAAGTCTGGGACATCCCTTGCCTGGATTCCAACTGCTGTGGCCAAAGCCTCACCTGTACAGGTAATAGAAGAAGGAGAGCAGGTAGAAGGCGAGTTTGCACCAGGACTCCTTCTGGCAGTAGTTGAGGATGTCGGCATTCATGATAGAGACCGCATCATACATGACCTCAGAGCCATCCGCAGGACGGTGGAAGTACCTGGTGCAAGGGAGGCCTGAGTGCCCCCTCTAGCCACCCAGGTCTGACCCCCAAACTGCCTTGTCCCGTCTTTATCTCCCCGAGGTAACTGCTTGCCCTCACCTCCAGAGATGGTAGAAGAGGAGGGGGATATTGAGGCCCAGGGTCACCCACTCTGCTGCACACAGAAACATCAGACAGAAGAGGCCGTGGATGGAATATTCCGGGACCACCAGCTGGGGGAGTGAGGGTGAAATGTCAGTGGTCTGGTGCCAGGACGGACACAGAGGGGTGGATAATGATGTTTAGGAAGCACCAACCCACCATGATTTCAGAACTAAAAGGCCTTTCTGGCTTGCCATTCCCACCCTCCTGGGTGGCAAACTGGACCAGATAGGCTCAAAGAAAAGGAAGGACTTGCTGTGGGTTACAGAGAGGCTAGCACTAGCTAGGAGCTTCCTGACACTGACCTTCCTCAGGAGGCAGCAGATGCGCTCGATGTTTTTCAAACGCTCGCGCTGTAGGGAAGGAAAGGGCCTAGATAAGGGAAGCCAAGGAACAGAAACCAGGGCGCCTCCCACGGCCCCGGGCGTGGTCACCAGGGGGCGCCAGAACTCTCTGCGGTGTCTCTTCAGGAAAGCAGCCCGCCGTCCCCATGGTGACTGTCGCCATGGAGGGGCCTTCACCCGCATCTCCATGGCAACGGCCCAGAGCCTGGAAAAGGCTTCCCCACCAGGAGGAACCGGAGCCCTGAGCCCGCTCCAGGTGTTTGCGGGGGTGGAGACGGAGAAAAGGACAGGGTCACCTCATCAGCCCTCCACATTGTACCCCCATTTTCCCGATCTCCATTCCCACCCTCCACCATGACAAAAAAGACAAACGGACGGACACACCTCAGCACAGCACATGTATCACTTACTGCCCGCGCTGGGTTCCCCTGGTCGATGGGGTTCTTGAAGTCAGTCCGCAGCTCATCAAAGGCTATGATCTGGGGATAGGGGCGTGTGCCCGTCAGGGTTGGGGCAGGCCCACCACCACCCTATCACCCCAGGCACCATATGGTTCAGAGGAAAAGAACATGGGCTTCTTGGAGGGATCTGGATGGTAACCCCCCCCCTCTTCTACACACACACATCACACGTGCCCTTCTTTGGAATAGGGATTTATATGTGGAGGCCCTGTTAAGTGGAGCTTTTTGCTTAGTGGAGAAGCAGGACAGCTCCAAACTGCCAGCAGTCGACAGTGCCTGGTGTCTACTGCACTCCCCACACATTTCAAGACATGGCCTCTCCTCTCCAAGGGCTCATGCTAGTACAGGAACCCTAGAGGCTTGGTACACAGTTCTTGTCCAAGAAGGGCCCCAGGGGGTTGGGGAAAGAACTAATCAGTGGTGATGGGTAGAGCAGAGCTCCATATGGGTTGGTGGGGTTCAAGCTGACTAAGCATTTGGTGAACAAATGGGACAAACGCAGTCCAAGCGTTGGTAAGAACAGATACAAAGGCACAGAAGGTTGAGAGAACATTCAGAGAGCTGCAGGTTCACGAGGTTGGGTGCTGTGAGAACCAGAAGAAAGAAGGTGCAAGGTGGGTGGAAGGGCCAAAAGAGCTAGTCCCCGTAAGGCCAACCAAGACCAGGCTTAACAGGAGTAGGAGGAGTCCAAGTGGATTATAAAGCCATGAAGTGGGGGCAGTGGTTTAGGAATGCTGTGGCTACAAGCTGGCTGACAGTCACAGCCAGGTAAACTCCCGCAGACTTTGTTAGTTCACTCAACACTTGTAACTTGACTTAGGTGCTAGTGTTGCTTTCTTTGACTTACGGATGAGAAAACAGGTATCTTGTCAAGAGCCAGTAAGTAGTAAACTTATAACCCAGTTAAAAGTACTACCCACTTTGTCATGCAGGGACAGATCAGTGAAGGGCCAGTCGGCCTTATGAGTGTCCAGGGAGGGGTTCATTGCAGGGTGGTCTAAGTGAGCAGGATGGTGGCTGTGGAAATGGAGAGGTGTCGATGTATTCCACTGCTCTCTAGTAGCCAGCTTCAAAGGGCTTGTGTGATAGGGGGGTGACAGTAGAAGGCCCCAAGATACCTTCTATTATGGTGTGTCTGGGGGATGGCGATGTATTCAGAAATTCCTGAGGGAGCAGATATTTGAGATGAAGATGTAGACCTGGAAGGAACTGCAGGTAACCTGGGGGAGGCAGGCTGGCAGGGGAGCTTGACTAGGGGGAGGGGAGTTCCTTCCCTTCCCCTCTAGCCCCAGGATGAGGCAGCAGGCCCACCACCCCCAAACATCCTAGACCCCATACGGTTCAGAGGAAAAGAACATGGGCTTCCTGGAGGGAGCTGGGGCCATCTGGAGCCCCTCCCCCAATTCCTCATTGACTCTGGGCTGCTGCCTGCCTGAGAGGCACAGCAACAGGGTCCAGCAGGGGCGGAAGGGTACCGTCTGTCTGCCCCCGAGCTGGCACCACCAGCAGGCAGCGGGTGTCGAGCCTCCCACCCCCCAGGCTGCCTGGCGCTGACTCAGCATCGTCTCCCCCCACCCCCAACCCCGGAACAAACAATTCTCCACTGTGACAGCTGACACACGTCACTCACCAGGGTTGCCTAGTGACTAGTGGGACCTGGTTCTAGCTCAGAAGGTTTTACTTCTAAGTAGCTTTGAATTGAGGACCGAATTTTCTCCCCTAGATTTCACATCTACAAGACCATTTTACTGATAAGGAAACAGCTCCAGCCTGATCAGATGACCCAGCTAAAAGGGTGAAAGGCACGGTGCCTCACAGTGGAAGGGGCTCCAGCAAGGCTTGCTGAGAGACAAAGGTGCTGCTCCAAAGCTTAGGAGACTTCATCTCAGCCTGGACACTTTGCAAGGGCAAAGTCTGGGTCTTCTGCAGCCTGACTCCCAACAGCTGCTGTGCAACTGTACTAGGCACGCTTCTCTGGGAATCTCCTGAGAAGAGGGGCCCTACCAGGGAAAGTGGAGTTGTGAGTGGGAAGGGGCTTCTTGAATCTCAGGAGCTAGTTGGCTATCCTGTGTTTCCCTGCCTATGCCTCCCCAGTTTTTCCAGTTCTTACATCCCAAGTTCTCCAGCCCCCACAGGACTGCCCAAGGCCCCGGGCCTGAGACAGGAATCTCATAATGGATTCAAAGTGATGGAGGAGGAGAAAAACAGAGCAGAGGAGAAGAAACCCAACTGGGAGACCTGGATCAAGACTGGAGCAAAGTGAGGGATCCGGCTGGAGACAGGTTGCACGTCTGGAGATACCTGTGAGGGCTCAGGATCTAGTACAGTAGAGGTCTAGCATATGTCAAAGAGAAAGGGGGAGGGCAAAGGAAGAGATGGGGCGATTTCTGGGAGGCAGTAAGTCCCAGAAAGACACAAGAAATGGGGAGAGCAAGAAAGTCAGGTAAAGCAAAGGAGGAAGGGAGGCACACTGGATGCAGTCAGATAAAAGAACGCTTAAAAGAGGATGAAGGTAAGACCAGGAGGTGTGATGAGGGTACTAGTAGCTACAACAGATAGAGATGTCTGTATGGGACCGGTCTGGGGCAGAAACCTCAAAGGACATCGATGGAGGGGAAGCTGGAAGGAGGGGGAAGAAACCTCAACAGCGAGCCAGAGGCTCATAGTTCTATAGAGAGGAGAAAAACCAGGTAGAGGAGGCCTTCCTTTGGGAAAGCGCAGGAGAGAACTAGGTAGAACCCTTTCCAA